TATTCTATTGTTGCTTAAGTTGCTTCTTATCAACTGGCCAGCTTAACTTTTTATATCTAATGGTGTTCGTCAATCTGAAAATTTACGATATCATCCTTGTTGTTTATCCATTTGGACCTAATGGATGTATTATGTTTTCATAAATGGTCCAGTATCGCGGTCATATTCCCATGGTGGACGTAACTATGACCTATTTGGCAATAAAAAACCAGGGGACGAGGAATTTAGGAAAGCGTGGGAGAAAGAAGTTGATGATGATTCTGGTCTATGGACTGGAAGTGATGAAGATGAAAGTGATAATATAGAAGGAAAAAGTAATCTAGAGGAAGAGATCAGGAGAGTCAAACAAAAGGCCAAGGAACACTCAGACCTTATCGATGGTGATGACAGTGATGAATTGAGAAGTATATGGTCTGATGACGGCGAGGAGAGGACACTATGGACAGGTAGTGAATGTGATGATGACGATGACATTCCCACTGAAGCCTATCCAAATGAAAAAAGTGACGAGTACATAGATAAGTTGTTTGAGTTTGAGGAAACACCAAAATATCGAACCCTTTCAGAATTGTTGAAAGATGAAGAGGAGCCAAAGGAGCTATCCCCTGGGAAACAAGCTAGGAAACTTGCAGTTGAAAACGCCTTAAAAAAACTGAAGAAAGGGCCAGATGGGAGGTATACCAATGTGTGGGAGGTGATGACCGATATAGACATTCTTATAGGAGCTTTTGAAAATATCATTTCAGGACCAGAGTATGTCGAACTTAGGCAAGGGGGGCCCAAGAAGTTAAACATGGAATTCTTTAAGGATATACAAGCACGAATGAGAGATCCAAGTTTCAAGTTTTCATCAGAACTAAAGCTGAAACCGAAGAGTAAATTTGTGTCAAGAAAGAAATGGCAGAAAGCACAGTCTAGACGAAGGAAAGCGCAGAGGCGCTGAGTTAAGCTCCTTCCTCTTTTCTATATTAACAAGTTGCATGTACATTCAATCTATCTCAAAATTATATGTCCAAAACTCTCTGCTTTACTCTGTTAATGCAGTTACTATACAGTGGTATGAGAATATTACAAGATGATAGTTTTTCCTTTCAGCTTATTGTTGCTTATTTAGTATTTTTGGTGAGACTTTCTTTAATATCATAGCATGGTCAGTATTGTTATTCTCTAGTGTAGAAATAAGCCACTCGACAGGATCATTGAGAGTACTTATTGAATTGTGGAAGGTCAAAACTCAAGATGATGCGGTTTTGGTGTAACAGTAAGTGAAATGCTAACAGTTTATGTAATTTATATTCTTAGATGATTAGCGCTAATCAACTTAATTGAGATGAGTTGATATAGGTCCTTGTCCTTGGGTTCCAGGGCGGGTTGATGCTAGATCATTCCTAGCTGAACTGTAGGTTTAACCTCTATTACTTTTTTTTTGTCTCTTTTGAAAGTGAGTTGCAGTGCGAATGGTTTAGAAATTAGAATACACCCTATATCTGTCGCATGAA